GAAAGTGAAACCAGTTTTTTTTTTCATGCAGGCTCTGTCAATCATAGACCAGGGGACGTGTGGCTAGGGCTGCATAAACAGAAACAAAGTGATTTAACTCCTAAATGACAGTGAATTGAGCAGTGAAATTGCAGGGGAATGATCTATACACTAAAACTGCTTCATTTAGCTAAAGTAATTTAGGTGACTATAGTGTTCCTTTAAAATAAAATAAATTTGTATTTTTCTTTCTAATGAATTATTTGTAAAACAAATTAGAAAAACTCATCCCTACTGTTAAAATGACTTACCCAGGCTACTAGGGTTAATATATTTCCAAGCCCTTGTAGAGACACGTGTCTAAACTAAACACAACTTATGCGACAGAGCTCAGACTTTTGTTAGGGTAACATATTGGGTTTTGCCGTATGTGAAATGTACTTTTGGGCTACCAGCTCAATAAAGCAATAAAATCAAATTGTGTAAATAAAATAGAAATAAATTAAAACTTGTATTGATGATCACCTAGGTGACGCTGTAGGTAAGTTTGAATTATTTGTCTAAACCCACCATTAGTAAATAGCCATTTATTGTCTGTGGATTTTTGGCATCAATTGCCTTTGTTTTACAAGACATTTGTTGTATAGGACATAGAAAGTGGACAGGTGGGGCCTGTTTGCTCAATTATTTGATAACGCAAATAAATAATATTATAAAACCTTTTTAGTTTTGTTCTGACCTGGTTATAGAAGTATGATGCCAACAGAAGGGCATACTGCCAACGTTTGACAGAAATATAAAAGACTATCCAACCATTGCAAAACTGATTAATGTTCTAAATGTTAATGATATTGAACTATTGTGATAAAGGGCAAAGACATACAGTTGCAAGAAAAAGTATGTGAACCCTTTGGAATGATATGGATTTCTGCACAAATTGGTCATAAAATGTGATCTGATCATCATCTAAGTCACAACAATAGACAATCACAGTCTGCTTAAACTAATAACACACAAAGAATGAAATGTTGCCATGTTTTTATTGAACACACCATGTAAACATTCACAGTGCAGGTGGAAAAAGTATGTGAACCCTTGGATTTAATAACTGGTTGAACCTCCTTTGGCAGCAATAACTTCAACCAAACGTTTCCTGTAGTTGCAGATCAGATGTGCACAAAGGTCAGGAGTAATTCTTGACCATTCCTCTTTACAGAACTGTTTCAGTTCAGCAATATTCTTGGGATGTCTGGTGTGAATCGCTTTATTGAGGTCATGCCACAGCATCTCAATCAGGATGAGGTCAGGACTCTGACTGAGCCACTTCAGAAGGCGTATTTTCCTCTGTTTAAGGCATTCTGTTGCTGATTTACTTCTATGCTTTGGGTCATTGTCCTGTTGCAACACTCATCTTCTGTTGAGCTTCAGCTGGTAGACAGATGGCCTTAAGTTCTCCTGAGATGTATGCACATATATACATACACAGACGTACACACACACATGCAGATGCAGATACACTGTGCTCTGCATGCTGGCATCTGACAACACATTTGCATATAGTTAGCCACTTGTTGTGGGCTGGCTGACACCTCTTAATTTCTATCTTTGTTTAGCAGATAACTCCCCTATTTGCTATCCTTATGTGGGCTTGCCATATTTAAGGACATCAAATAAAGGAGCTATCTGCTAAACAGCA